CCCCCCCTTACCCTCCTCGCTCACTCGGAGGATTGGTTGTCTGTCCTGATCTCGACCTCCCTCGGATTTCTTTTCTCTTCGTTTCTTCTTCTATTCCCTCGCCATGTTCCGCAGTCTCCTGCCGCGGGCGACACCGCGGGCTGCCCTCCGCTCTGCCGGCCCCAAGGCTGTCCCTTCCAACTTTATCGCTACTCCTTCTCTCACTCTCTTCACGAAACGTGGCTATGCCTCTGAGTCGGGTAGGTCATCGAACTCTCCTGACGATGCCGGACAGAGTGAGGCCTGTCGCGGCCGATGCCTGCTCTTCCGGACCAAAACCCTTTTCCCCGTCTGATCCCGGCTAACCGGTGGGTTCATGGGGTAGGTGAGCACGATGTCGTGATCATTGGTGGTGGTGTCGCTGGATACGTTGCTGCTATCAGAGCTGGTCAGGAGGGTCTCAAGGTGCGAAATCCTGTTTCTCTCCGCTTACGAGCGATGCGGTGAAGCTGTACACTAACCTTTGGTCGCCTCTTTTTTTTCCGCCGCCAACAGACCGCCTGTATCGAGAAGCGTGGCCGTCTCGGCGGTACCTGCTTGAACGTCGGCTGTATCCCCTCGAAATCTCTGTTGAACAACTCCCACCTGTACCACCAGATCCTCCACGACACGAAAAAGCGCGGTATCGAGGTCGGCGATGTCAAGCTCAACCTTGAGCAGATGATGAAGGCCAAGGACACCTCCGTCGAGGGCCTGACCAAGGGTATTGAGTTCCTCTTCAAGAAGAACGGTGTCGACTACATCAAGGGTACCGGTGCCCTCGTCGACGAGAACACCGTCCAGGTCAACCTTCTCGAGGGTGGTGAGCAGACTCTGCGCGGCAAGAACATCATCGTTGCCACCGGCTCCGAGGCCACTCCCTTCCCCGGCCTGAACATCGATGAGAAGAGAATCATCACCAGCACCGGTGCTCTCTCCCTTAAGGAGGTCCCCAAGAAGATGGTCGTCATCGGTGGTGGTATCATCGGTCTCGAGATGGTAGGACTTTTTTTCTGTCAAAATCAAAATTTCCGCTGCTAACCCGTTGGTTCTTGTTGTAGGCTTCCGTCTGGTCCCGTCTCGGTGCTGAGGTCACCGTCGTCGAGTTCCTCGGCCAGATCGGTGGTCCCGGTATGGACGCCGACATTGCCAAGCAGGCTCAGAAGATCCTGCAGAAGCAGGGCATCAAATTCAAGACTGGCACCAAGGTCACCAAGGGTGACGACAGCGGTGCCACCGTCTCCCTGAGCGTCGAGGCCGCCAAGGGCGGCAAGGAGGAGACCCTGGACGCCGATGTCGTCCTGGTCGCTATCGGCCGCAGACCCTACACCGAGGGCTTGGGCCTGGAGAAGGTTGGCATCGAGAAGGATGACCGTGGCCGCCTGGTCATCGACCAGGAGTACCGCACCAAGGTCCCCCACATCCGGGTCATCGGTGACTGCACCTTCGGCCCCATGCTTGCCCACAAGGCCGAGGAGGAGGCCGTTGCCGCCATCGAGTACATCAAGACGGGCCACGGCCACGTCAACTACGGCGTCATCCCCAGCGTCATGTACACCCACCCCGAGGTCGCCTGGGTCGGCCAGAACGAGCAGGAGGTCAAGGCCGCCGGCGTCAAGTACCGCGTCGGCACCTTCCCCTTCAGCGCCAACTCCCGCGCCAAGACCAACCTCGACACCGAGGGTCAGGTCAAGTTCATCGCCGATGCCGAGACCGACCGCATCCTCGGTGTCCACATCATCGGCCCCAACGCCGGTGAGATGATCGCCGAGGCCACCCTGGCCGTCGAGTACGGTGCCTCCTGCGAGGACATCGCCCGCACCTGCCACGCTCACCCTACCCTGGCCGAGGCGTTCAAGGAGGCTGCCATGGCCACCTACTCCAAGGCCATCCACTTCTAAGCTCCCTCACCTCATCTCTTCAACCCGCCCCATCATGTACCTCCACCTCTAGTCTAGCTTCGCTAGCAAAGCCCGTGTAGCATTGACACCATTATATTTCCTATGTCCTTGAGTGTAATCAATCTTTTTTTTTCATGAATCAAAGAGTATTTTGGAATTCTAGACCGGCTTGAAGCGAAGCACCTTTGCGTTCGTGGAGAATATCAAATCTTGTACTGGAGTATGTTCCATCCCTTCACGTAGAGTATATTCCATTGTGCCATAAGTACACTATCTGGATGCAGGTAGCGTAAGAAAGACAAACAGATAATGAATCCAGAGCAGTCCTCTACACGGCAAGTGGAGACATCGCACAGCCCATGTTGGAGCTCAACTCAATCCGTTCTCGTACCGCTTCAGCTTTTTCTGCATCGGAGGTCTATCAACAGTCCGCGGACGGTCGAGGGCTACTAGATCTAGCTGTGCGCTACTCGAGACGAAGTCCTCTGGTAATACCCATCAGCAAAGGTAGAGGATACTATGCGCACATACAGACCACAAAGAACTCGCGGTGTAAAGAAGAACTTGACTCGATAGGTAGATTGAACCCTCGGGCCGTCGTTTAGAGGCACTCATCTTGAAACCCACGGATCTTCAGACATCATAGGTGACATCACTCACACAAGGTCCGATGTGGTGTAATGGCTAACATCGCTGTCTCTCACACAGCAGCTCGGGGTTCGATTCCCCGCATCGGAGTTCACTTTTTGTATTCGTTTTGTCTGTCACACGCACAGTCGGTCTACCTGGTCTACCTGCTGCTTTTTATTTTATTTTATTTGTTTTTTGATATAGCAGCATTAATACCCAGTGCGCGGGTAAATCCTTTCTTTTTTTACCTTTCATGAAAAAAAACAAAGGTCAGGCTGAGATAAAAGACTTTAGGTGTGCATGATACCAAATTTTCGGTCGGTCGTCTACACAACCAACCTCCGTCCCCTGCACAGTGGGCCCACCCACCCATGTGGGAATGAACGAGAGCAAAAAAGACAACTCCGATGCGGGGAATCGAACCCCGAGCTGCTGTGTGAGAGACAGCGATGTTAGCCATTACACCACATCGGACCTTGTGTGGTAGACAGCTCCTATGTTGACATCACGTCCCGTTTTCTATGAGCGTAGAGTACGTAGTGCCTTCGTATCTCAAAGTGAGGAGGCTCTTCCATCGTCATAAGCTGGGTATATGCTCCAAGCCGTTGTTGCCCCTCAGAATCTTACAGAAACAAGTTGGCAATGGTAAAACATGTGTGTTTGCCATCGTGGGGTTGGAGGGCTCTTTCTTGTTGTCTCTTTTGGGCGTTATTCCGTCTTTGAAGATAGTTATTGAGTGTCGAGTAGGAGAACATGGGAAGTTGAGAAAGGTAAGTTTGGAGCGCTAGCAAGAGTGATGCGTCCAAATATTATATACTGGTAAGAACGTTGCCAGGTAGGTCAAGGAGGGCAAGCAGTCCCGTTTCGGAAGGAGCAGCAATCGCGGGCCCCGGTGCCTTCCATCATTGGGGTAGCATTTACGCCAAGAAGACCAAGTGGCTACGCAATCAGTGGTATATAGAGACACGACTTATGCCAATGGAGACCCTCGCACGTTCCCTGTAGAACTAACCAAATACTCTCTCTCATCTCAACCAATTCAAGCCAAACCATACACACGAGGCATAACAGAACAGACAAACCCAAAACAACAACCCAGAAGAAAAAGCATGCACTCTGCCCCATTTTCTACCCACGTATAACATCAGTGATGTGAATCCACCAGCTGAAAGGAGAACATCCCAACATAAGAAACTACCATAGCATCCACGCACATACAACGAAGAACCCGAAAGTGAGCCCGCCTTCGCAGATCTACCCCCCAACCCAACCCCATTGAATACCAATATTCCAACCGCCTCATGATATAAACAACAACCTAGGGCCACAAGAACCTAGGACCACCCCTCGAGGAGACATCCACATCCACTTCGAAGCGAGACACCCTGTCCCTATCGTCGCGGTTACGGCGGCGGCCCCCTTCTCGGGGTCGTAGGTATAGATCTGGATGGGTGTGGGTGTGGGTATAAGTATGGAAATGGGTATGAGTATCGGTCTGGTGTCGATGGGATCGAGAAGAGGGGTCAGCGTGCAGTCTGACAGTGCTGCAGAAGGTATACTGCTCGCTGGATCGGGGTCCGTCGAGGGGATAGTGGTGTTGGTGATGATGGCGATAGCTCACGCTATCGCTGCTGTATCTCCTGTGGCGAGATTCATGGTGGTGGTTAATGTAATGGTAGTGGTCGTCGTCATGGGTGGCCCTTTCGATCAAGCGGGTGGGAGATTAGGCTCGGGTGGCTGGGACAATGCAAGACCCATGCTAAGGAAAGAGAGGAATCTTACAACCGAGAGGCAGGGGGTTGTGCTATCGCACCAGAGGCGACAGGGACGAAGCAAGGATCTGGACGGTGGCGCACCCGCGGAGCATCGCTGTTTGTTGCCGGATGATACTCGTTTTTGATCCGGTAATACACCTTGTTGGCGTGGTTGTTGAAGTGTTGTTCGAGGTGATTTTGGTGGCGGTGGAGACGCTGAGTTGCATCGCGAGGCATGTTTGCTTGGTGTAGTGGCAGTCAAGGCCAACACTATTGCTCAAGTTGTGTATATTGAAAATTGGAATCAATAGATAGGTGGTCGTCTACATATTTATTTCCAAGAGCAGAGGAACAGCTATATTTCCCAAAGCGGCTGAAGTCAACAACCTCACCGAGTCTGGCCAGATTGTGCTACACAGGGTTCATCGCTGTGTAATACAGCATGTCATGTAGTTTGCCTTCTTCTTGCAAGGCCTGCCCGGGGTCTAGGCACCAAAAAAGAAGAATTTGACCCTAAATCACCTACATTTCGATGTGGCGTTACTTCGGAAAAGTCGTAGTGGTATCTCAGCGCTGAATTCATGCAATCTTGCAGTAATGGGAATCAAGAGTGGAGTCAAAGCCTCCCTGCAACCAGCCAGTAATGCCCAATGTGTTTCACGGGATCATCAAACAGTAACCTGATGCGGAGTGAGGTTTACTCCAACCTGTAGATATGCCCAGAGGACGTAGGTAGCTCTTTGCTATAGGTCATCGACGGGGCAAAGGGCTGGACCCATTCTTTCAGCACAGCCAGGAAAGTGTCGCTGACAGCTCTCACGGTCTCGTCGCGTGAAGTGCCAGAGCTCTCGATGTAGACTGGAATTGTCAGTCAGCAACTCAAAGTCCTCACTTGTGGACATGGAACTCACTCTTCACTTTCGGCTCAGTGCCAGAAGACCGGAACGTGAATCGAACTTCACGATCAAGCCATAAAGTCAACATCTGACTGTTCTGGTCAATCGGGAGCTTGGGTTTGTGGTCCTGCGTGCCAGAGTCATATCCTTGTGTCATGTCTCGCCAGCGGTGGATTTTGAACGACCCAAGCGATTTTTCAGTCCGGAAGGGACCGGCTCTGATTGCATCGAACAAGCTCGCTGTAACCTCAGGGCTTGGGGACCGGAAGTAAGTGTTGAGTGTTTCGTGATGTCCATGCTCTTTGAACAGCTGTTGCAATTTCATATAGGGTGTCATGCCCTCGGCCTTCCATTTTGCCTCGGCCAGGAGGAACACCATCGCCGCGGAGATGCCATCCTTGTCGTAGGACACCTCGGGAAACATGTACCCAAGAGCCTCCTCATAGGCAAACGGAACATAGTAGCCCAGCTCCTCGAGTCTACGGGCTGTGTTTCCCATCCACTTAAAGCCCGTGAGAGACTCCTCATAGTGCATACCCTTCGCTTTGGCCATCTTCTCCAGCATGCTAGACGAAACGGCGGAGTTCAAGACTGCAACTCGTGTGTCACTGTCTATGGTTTCTAAGGAGTCAAACAGGTGTGACGCCAGGAGAACACCCAAATGATTTCCAGTGTAAATAAACCATGATCCGCTAGACAAGAGGCATCAATTAGCGCAGAGTTTATAGCTCAGCCATCAGTGATACTTACTCCACTTTCTCAGCCGCAGCAAACCGATCGGCGTCTGGATCATGGGCAATCACCAGAGGTCTCCCCTCCTTGTCCGCAAGTTGCAAAGCCAGGTCTAGAGCACCGGGCTCTTCCGGATTTGGGAAGGCAACTGTGGGAAAGTCTGGGTTTGGCTCCGCTTGCTCTGGCACGACGGTGAAATCACTTATGCCGACGGAACGACACAACCCAGGAAACACCAAGCCACCTACTCCGTGCAAGGGCGTGTAGACGAACGGCTGCGGCTGTTTCCATTCCCGAACGGTATAAGTCTGCAGACAATGTCAGCTGTGAAGAGCACGGCAGCACAGAAAATCACTCTTACAGCGTACTGCCAAACTGCCGTGTTGTAATGGGGCAGGATACTCTCGTAAATCTTGTCGCGCAGATATTCGCTTGGTTGCAGCTCATCCCAGGCAGTAGGCCATGGGACTTGATTCTCTTCGATGGATTGGGCTATCTCCACGTCCATCGGACTATTAATTTGGGCACCATTCTTGAAATAGCTGGGATTCGTCAGTGATACTCAAAAGTGGTTGGAATTGTGCGATCAGACACTTTGTAGCCTGCAGCACGATCAGTCAGCAATCATTGTCTCGAACAAACGAAGAGATGAGGAAGACACGGCGAAGGCCTACCATTGTCCTGCGCTGGATTCTGCAGGTTGAAAATTAGCCACCACGGCCTAAGCTGCCCAATGAACATGGAACAAAAAGCTTACATGGCTTGCGGTAACCATAATGCCTGCAGCAGCGTGCAGATGGGTTACACCGAAAGGGACGGTTGGAGTAACCGAGGACTCCGAATAGAACCAGACCGGGATCTGCTGTGCGATGAAGGCATTGGCAGCCAATGCGGCGAACTTATCCGAGTGATACCGCGCATCGTGGCCGATGACCACACCGTAAGATGCGATGTCGCCGTGGCGGGTTTTCAGGTACTTTGCTAAGCCTTGGGAGGCCTGAATGACGGTCAGGGAGTTCATACAAGAGAAACCTGCTGCCATCCGTCCCCGCAAGCCCGCAGTGCCGAATTGGATGCCTGCGATAAACGATTAGACATAGCTATCGTGAGGAAGGCATGCCGCATGTGCCACAAAGGCCAATGGAATTTTAGAGAGAGGGATTCAGTAGGATGTCAAGCCCAGTGCTGACATACGTTTTTGCAAGCGCAGGGCCAGTTCAGCCCAGTCCCCGGAGTCCCGAAGCTGTTCAATTTCGGCACGGGTGGATGGATCCTGTCATGGGGCGTTAACATTCACGTTTCAAGATCCGCAGCAGAGCCTATCGATAAACATACCTGGTCCCACTCCAGCCACCTTTGGATCAGTGGAGTGAGGGCCTCCTACGCAAACGACAAACCAAATGGAGTCAGAAAATAAGCTGATTTCGGGAAGCCGTGAGTTGCCGGGAGGAAAAAATAACTATACCTCTTGTGGATTGGTGGGCATGTTGGATCATACGACGAGGGGACAACGAAAAAGAATAATAATGGGGTGAGATGATCGGAATGTGTTCACGTCGGGAAGAAGACCGATGGAGGGGGGGAGGGGGGGGGGGGAGAAAGGAACAAGAAGTAAAGGGGAAGGGAAGCACGGAGTACGGGGAGTAGACGGGGTATTGAAAGGGGAAAGAAAATCAAGCGAGAATAGTTAGCCAGCAAACAATAATAATCAGCAACGAGAATACAAAGAGAACAAAAGAACAAAAGAACAAAAGCTTTGACAAGTAGTTAGTGACAAGTCAAGTTACCGAGTAAGTCATCAAGAATGTGTTGGTGTGGGGGAGAAGGAGAGGAGGGGGGGGATTCAAAAGGAGGAAAAGGCAAAAGCAGCACAGCATGAATTCAGGTTGAAGATGGAGAGAGACAGACAGAGAGTGTGTGTGTGGCTTTGGGCGGGATGACTGGATCCGGTGACGATCGGCGGCTCTCCCCGCCCTGGACTGTTTTATTCTTAGCTGTGGTTGTGACTGTTGTTACTGTTGTTCTTGACTTACTAGGTAGGTACTGTTCCACTACGGAGCACTACGTACTGTTTAATTGCTTGGTGCTTAACTTAGTGCTTTTAGTGCTTAGTACTCCGTAGTCTCCGCCATTCTTTCCGCCGGGCCGGCCTCTTTCAAGTTTCAACATCCAACCCGCGCGTCCTTGCATTCTTCCTCCCTCTCCTTCTCTCTCTTCTATTCTATCTCTTCCTCTCCTCCCTAACCCCCCTTCCTTATTCTCTCTTCAATCTCATTTCCCACCACCTTTTCATTCTTGATTGGCACTATCAGCAGTACAATGCCCTTTCTCACTGACCGTTCCTAAACATCCACGACCCGCAATTGTGTTCACCGCGCAGGCAGCAATGGCCGCAATGGGGAAGAGTCCTGCGACCCGGAAGGAAACCCTTCTCTCGCGCCGCTACATTGAGGGCCTTATCGCAGATGGGAAACAGATCATCATCTTCGACGATCGTGTCTTGAAAGTCGACGCTTGGATTCCCTATCACCCCGGAGGTGATAAATCCATCAGACACATGGTCGGAAAGGATGCAACGGATGAGATCAATGCGTACGTGGCCTCGCGCTTGGGCCATACTTTGCCTTGGAACTATAACTGATCGTCTGCATGAATATAGATTGCACTCCAAGGAAGCGCGTCAACGCATGCTATCGTTCCAGATCGGCCGCATCCAGGGCCCATGGTTGAACTTCCTGCCTCCGTTCCAGGGCGGGAAGTTCCGTCCCTACACCGAAGATTGCGTCTCCGACGACGAGAGTTCAGGCCAGGAGAGTTCCGGACAGGAAACGTCACAGCCTCCGTCCCCGATCTTCGACGCAGTAGATTCGACTGCGTCTCTTCGCCAGCGAAAGGCCCCCTCCGCCGAAACCCCGGATTCAGCCGCACCGCTCGAGGACGAGTCCAAACCCAAACCCTTCTTTCTCGATGCGCGAACTCGGGAAGAGATCATCTTTGACACTGCCAAATATCCCTCCCTCGACGCAGCAAATCAAGACAAAATTCGGCAGCGATACCGTCAATTAGACCAACAGATTCGGGCGGAGGGTCTGTACGATTGCCGCTACTTCTCATACTTCATCGAATGTTGTCGGTATACACTGTTCGCGGGCCTGTCATACTACTTCCTCCATCTAGGGTGGTATGGGACGTCTGGGTTCTTCTTGGGATGCTTCTGGCACCAGCTTGTCTTTACCGCCCATGATGCTGGCCACATGGGTATAACGCATAACTTTCACTTCGATTCAGTGATTGGTATTATTATCGCCGACTACCTGGGAGGACTGAGTCTCGGGTGGTGGAAACGGAGCCATAACGTTCATCATATCGTGACCAACGCCCCCGAGCATGATCCAGACATTGAGCATATGCCGTTCTTTGCCATTTCCCACCGCTTCCTCACCAGTCTGCGCAGTACATACTATGACCGCGTGATGACCTTCGACGCTGTAGCGAAGTTCATGCTGCGCTTCCAGAACTATCTCTACTACCCTATCCTCCTCTTTGGGCGATTCAACCTGTACCGTCTGAGCTGGGAATATCTATTCATGGGCCAGGCGCCGAAGAAGGGCCCTGCCTGGTGGCATCGCTGGTTCGAGATTGGCGGGCAGGTCTTCTTCTGGTATTGGTTTGGCTACGGGGTGATGTACTGCACCATCCCCGACTGGAAGAGCCGGTTGACCTTCCTTATGATCTCGCACATGGTCACCTCGCCCCTCCACGTGCAGATCACCCTCTCCCATTTCGCCATGTCCACGTCCGACATGGGGGTCACCGAATCCTTCCCCCAGAGAATGCTGCGCACCACCATGGACGTAGACTGCCCGACTTGGCTCGACTGGTTCCACGGCGGCCTGCAATTCCAAGCCATCCACCACCTGTACCCGCGCATTCCCCGCCACAACCTGCGCCGTACGCAACGGCTGGTTCTGGATTTCTGTCGCGACACCGGCATTCCCTACACCATCTTCACCTTCTACGATGGCAACAAGGAGGTCATCGGCAAGCTCGGCGATGTGGCCAAGCAAGTCCGCATTCTGGAGGAATGTAGAAAGTCGTGTGCTCAACAGGGAGTCTTCTCGGATCACCACTAGAACCCAAACTCACTAGGAACAGACGGATGCTGATATTCGGTGGGTGCTGTGGGTTTGTTCTCCGGCGGTATGGTATGTAAGCGTAGAACTGCTTTTGTATATAGTTCAGTCCCCTTGGCCAGACACAGACACGCATGTACATGTAAACTTGGACGCAGGACTTACGTTACGCATCGGTGTTATCAATGGTCACTTATGAAGAATCTGACGTTTCTAATGACGTGATGTTTGGTTTGGCTGGGCTCTTTTGGTCGTTCGATAAGTTAGATTGTTGTCACTTGTGCTGGTTGCATCCTACACGATCTCCCATTACCTCCTCTATTAGAGTGCAGCTTATGTCTAGCTCATGCTACCAGCAGAAGCCCTAACATGAGCCCACCTCTTAATCCAGGGTATCATATATACTGCAGCCCGCGATTACATCTTCCTATTCAAAATCCCTCTCATACCATCATAACTAACCAACCATGCCCCCGGCCCTCGCCACCTTCTTCGCCCTCTGCTGCCTCCGATTATGGTTCGCCCGACTCGCCTTATTCTCCTCTTTGCGCTGTCGCGCCGCAGCGGGATTCTGTCCCTGGCTGTCCCCTGCGACAGCACTACCACCACCAAAACCACCACCGCGTCCGCCACCTCGCCCTCTCCCACCTCTCCCTCTGCCCCTACCACCACCACCCCTCCCTCTCATCGAGGCCATCTCACCCCCACTCGCACTCCCACCCTCCGCATCTTCATCCTCAACACCGCGCCGATAAGCCGTGGAGACCAAAACCGGCTGGTTCAGCCCCCCGTCTCTTCCCCCCTGGCCATCCAGCACCGCCTCCTCCAACCGCCTCAACCGCTTCGGATCCCGCGCCACCATCACCGCCCACCCCTCGATCGCCTCGTCGGTCATCCCGGTCTCGCGCTTCAGCGCGGCGCGGGGCTGCGCGCGCCGGGTCGCGGCGTCGCGGGCGAACAGCGCCGGGTTGGATTGGTAGGCGCGGTAGAGGGTGAGTTCCGTTTCTTCGGGGCTGGCGGTTGTGGGCTTGGGGGGTTCGTCCTCGGCAGTGGCGACGGTCGTGTCCACCGTGCCGCCGACGTCGGTCACGTCATAGGTGTCGTCGCGTTCGTCGTCGTCGGAGTCGAAGGTGGCGAGGGCGGACATGATGGCTGCTTTCTGGGCGGCGTGGTTGGAGCGGTCCGACAATAACGAGTCGGCGGTGAGGGTGGGGTTGGCGCGGCCGAAGCGGAGGGATTGGTGTTGTGAGGTGGTGTCGGAGCGGGAGAGTTCGGCGAGGTCGATTTCGCGGTCGAAGATGTTCTTGCGCTGGGGTGGGGGTGCTGTTGTTGTACTGAGTAGGGTTGGGGAGCGTGGGGGGAAGGGGTCGTGGTGGGTGGTGTTCGATGAAGGGGATGGGGTGGGCAGGGATTCGGATTTGTCCAGGATTTGTAGTTCCGGGGCCAGGGAGTCGTCGAGGAGGTGGGCGACGATGGTTTCGGGGTCGTCGTTGTAGTGGTCAAGCAGACGCGCGATGTAGCCGGTGCCCAAGTCGGGGAAGAGGTCTTGGACTTGCGTGATGAGGGACATCTTGTGGATGTGGAGGTCCTCGGCGGCCTTGGGCAGCAGGTCGTCCTCCGTGGCTCGGCCTTTGCCTTTGTTGACGGCGGCGCGCTTGCGCGGTTTCTGGTAGCGGCGGTGCAGGTGCTGTGTTTCGGCTTGGTATGCGCGCAGGCTGGCGAGGAGGTCCTGGCCGCGCTTTTGAGGGTTGACATCTGTGCTGAGGTGGCGGTCGAGGCGGCCTAGGAAGTCGGTGCTGCAGATGACCTCGGACAGCAGGGTGGGCTCCTTCTTCGTGCTGATACCAACCCCGGCGCTGGCTTTCATCCCGTACAGCTGGTCCAGGAGCGACGACAGGTTGGGCTTGGAGCCCTTGAGAAATGAACACAGCCCCACGTAGACATTCGCCACGAGCATTCTGCGGACTTCCTCGCGCTTATGCGCTTGATATGCGTCTACTACAGTATCGAGGAAGTCGGAGCCGGCCATGAGCACCTGGCCGCAGCCAGGCAGGACCGATGACAGGATCGTCAGAAGTCTGAGATCCACTCGCACCCCGGAAGGCTTGCTGAGGTTCAAGGACGAGAGATCCCTGATTGCTTGGACCTTGGCCTTCTCCAGGCTGGACGTGATCGCATCCTCATGCTTGTCCCATGCATCAGCCAGTAGCCTCTTCAATGCGGAGCTCGAGGGGTAACAGCAACACATGCCAGCAAGAACCCTCCAGTCCAGAAGCTCCGGCGGGGTGGGCGAGACCTCGAGGAGAAACCTCCGCGTGAGGAGAAAGCATAATTTCCGCAATGAGCGTGTGTTCGGCGCCGTCTGAGACCGAAATAAGCTGGAGTTGATCGATTGGCGGTAGAAAGAACCCAAGAATGCCACGGTAGAATCGTCGTTCAGGGCATGTTCCTTGAGCTGCGACGCGGGAGCTTCAACGCGCAAGCCCAGAAGCATGATCCAAGCATCTATATAGAGCTCCCATTCCGCGGGGGGAATATTGCGCTGCACCTCCGGAGGTGGGACCGGCGCAAGAGGTGGTAAGCCCGGCATGACTGTGAGTGTGTAATTAAGCGTATGCGACGGTGAAGGTCTGGTGATTCAAGATCGCAACAATGGCACGGAAGTCTATAGCGAAGGACAGATATCATGAATCATCAACATCATCACTGGTCGTTTGCAACAAGACATCATCATCGGGCTCCATCACCGCCCGCCGCCGGACCATCTATTCCTGGCTTAACCCGATTCAGACGCCGCCGCGGAGTATCTGCTGACTCATCCACGATCGCGCTCAATGCGGGTTAGCGGCTTATAGGCGAGGATGCCAAGGCCAGCACCCGCACAAGAGCCGCTAAGCGCACGATGAGAAAAAAAAAATAGAGGGAGGATTGATTTCAATCTATTAGTCCGCGAATAGCTACAGACCCTCTTCAACAAGCCATCATCACCTTACCGAACCCCCGAAGTTCAGGTCTTGATTGGTAGCCAGCCTCACCTTACGGTATGTTCCCTTTCCTCCTTCTCTTCCTCTCTGTGAACGACAGCTGATCCAACCTCCCCCCCTTCCCCTCCACAGCCATCTCAATCCCACGGTCTCACCCCACCGCTCAATACATTCAAGATGTCTTTCCAGAAGCCCGAGAAGGATTTCGGCGAGGGCCCCGTACGTTGCTCCTCACTACTCTTCGCACCTTTGCTGTCTCGTCGCGTCGCAAAGATATGCATTGGGATAGCGACTTGATACAAAGCGAAACGAAAACATGCGACTAACCTCATCTTGCTTTTCGCTGGTCTACAGAAGGTCCACAAGATCCGCATCACCCTTACCTCTCGCAAGGTCGCCTCCCTCGAGAAGGTCTGCACTGAGCTGATCGACCGTGCCCGCTCCAAGTCCCTCCAGGTCAAGGGTCCCGTCCGTCTCCCTACCAAGACCCTTCACATCTCCACCCGTAAGACCCCCAACGGTGAGGGTTCCAAGACCTGGGACAAGTACGAGATGCGCATCCACAAGCGTCTCATCGAGTAAGTTATTCCACAACCATTCGATTGACAATGCACCCGGCAAGAAACTAACATGGAACCCCCAAAGCCTCCTCGCCCCCACCGAGACCGTCAAGCAGATCATCATCAACATCGAGGCTGGTGTTGAGGTTGAGGTCACCATTGCCGCTTAAATGCGTGTCTAAACTCTTCGTTGAGACTGGTGACCGTGGCGGCAGCGGCGCCGACGATGTGCTCGTCTGGCTTCTTGGGAGAGATTCTGCTTCGAGGCCTGTATCACGCAGTTGTCGATACCCGCTTAAACCTGGCATAAAAATGAAGAACTTCTAAAAACGCGTAATCATGAGTTCTGTGCGGAAACGTAGCTCGTACAAATGCTATTAGCCTGTAATTTCGACCCTGTGCCAAGATTTCGTCCAATCCAACCTGGACGCCATTCGTCTTTGGGAATAATAAGTAAGCAGCTATTTACAATACAAAGGGTAAGCATGATACTAAGTCCTTTCCGCTCGGTTCACCTGTCCCACTAAAAGTCGAAGCTCACCCATTCGGTCTTTGGCGGTACGCTGGGAATGACCCCGTTCTCGAAACATCCATTCGTCACGAAGTACTCGTACTGTTGTGTAATCTCGGCCGTATACTCCTCGGGCCGGGCCTGAGCATCCCTTAGACTAGCTTCATCAGGTGGTCCATCTGGGAAAAAGATGCGGACGTAGACTTCACGATCCTGCGGATGAAGATAGCACGGTACGTCGTTGATATATTCCACGGGTTGACCCTTCCAAGAGGTGAGCCTTCTTGTCCTGGGATCGCGAATCGTCTGTCCGTTGAGAGGTGGGATGGGGCTGAGCTCGCTTGGGTCTCTCGTTCTGATGACAGGGGCTGGCCCAGGTCCCAATGGCGCAGTAGGAGCAGCAGGGGCCGCCGGAGCAGCCGCTGACGTTGTCGGTATGCCGAACCCGGTAGTTACCGGCTTTGATGCTGCCCCGAACCCAGAAGTTGCCGGCGTTGATGCTGCCCCGAACCCAGAAGTTGCCGGCGTTGATGCTGTCCCAAACCCAGGAGCCGCAGGAGCCCCGAACCCAGGCGCTGCCGGTGTACCGAACCCAGGCGCTGCGGGCGTTGATGCTGCTCCAAACCCAGAAGCTGCTGCCGGCCTTGCAGCGGAAGCTTGCTGACCCAGCTGCGCGAAACCAGACTGGCCAAATACTGGCTCGGCTGGTCGTTGGTTTGTGGCTCCAGAGGATGGAATTGCTTGGCCAAATGGGTTTGATGGCTGAGCACTACCAAAGGGTGATGCTGATTGTTGACCAAATGTTGACCCACCAGATTTTGCATTTGCAAACTGCGCAAACGGGGAAGGTGTGGATGCAGATGCGCCAAAGCCGCCAGATGCCTTACTAAACGGAGACGCCGTGGCTCCTGCAGCTGAAGGCTGACCGAAGGAAGGCTGGCCGAACCCAGGCGCGGGTTGCCCAAATGACGGTTGCCCAAAAGCCGATTGTGCGGATGGCTTGCCAAACGACGAGCCCTGGTTGAAGGCACTTGGTTGTCCAAAGCCAGTTGCATGTGCAAGATTGGAAGGTTGACCAAACCCAATTGGTGGAGCGATAGATGGTTTTGCGTAAGCTTGATCACCTAATAATGCTGGCTCACCGAAGGCTGGACCTGTGGCAGGGGGTGCCTTGATCTCTCCAAATAGCTTAGGCGGAGCGCCGAAAGTCGTGCCGGTCTTGTTGTTCACAATGTCAATTCGATTCGGATGCTCCTTGGCACCATCTAGGATATATCTGACAGCTCCATCCAGGTCCCTGAGAGCGTTTTCCATTTGGTTTCGTGCCACGTTGTGGAGACCCTGGGCTTCTGAAACTGCTACCTCAATTGAGCTACCTTGAGCGACTAGTTCATAATGACGGAGTCGTAGTTCCTCGAAGCTCTGTTCTCGCTGAGGGCCTCCAAATAGTTGCCTGGGGGCATCTCTTCCGGGGCCATAGCATGAAAAGATCCATTCAGGGAGCCCCTTGCCAGGAGTCAGGTCTGCCTTGATATCTGCCGCAGTGATCCCATATCTGGCCATGTTTAGTGCACATTCTGAGATCTCGAGGAGATGACATGATCTACTCACTGTGCATTTTGCTGATTTTGCCCACCACGACCTATATAGCAATCAGCAATCGCGTACTCATGGGTAGTCTGTTGACGGCAGCATGTAAACTCCGACAGACGAGGTGAGAAGTAACGAAATCAATGCAAGAGCGACAATCTCAATCAGACGAACAAAAACATCTACATCAGACACAAAAGTACCATGGATCACCAAAATGATCAAGAACAAAATCACAAGCATTTAGGGGAAAGGTGGATCTTGCGCATGGGCAAGACGATTCACATACCTCCACCTCCGCCGCCTCCGCCGCCGCCGCCGGAGAGAGCTGCGAATTTGTTCCCGCCTACTGTTTGCTTGCCGGGGTGCTCATTGTAGCATCTGTCTGTAGGTCAAATTAGTAATGTGTCCGTGAGACATGATTCAGAGCCAAGACAAGCCAATTCAATGGTAAGAGACTAAGCAAGATCATACCTCCATATTTACACCGGCCTTTCAAGAAATGCTGGCAAACGGGCATGTTGCGTTCGCGTCGGGCGTCCTCACTCGGCCAGTAGGAGCATACGAGAACGTCCTGTCGAGTCTTCGTTCGCGATAGCGGCCTCTCAGAGCCTGTCCGTTGATTCTCGATGGACAATTCCAATCTATGTGTAATTTTTCTATTGAAGAAGAAGAAGAAAAAACATAAGTCGACTGAAAGCGATCCAAGATACAAGAATCCTCGCAGTTCTTCAGCGTCCAGTGACTTGCAAACGAACAATTGATATTCTTTGTTGCAGATGAAGAGTTGTTCCGGTGACAGTACGTTTCCCCGACCCGGACTCTGTTCGCCGCCTTCTGGGAACATTTGCCGTATTTGGCTTGTACCAACAATACATCCAGAATACTCCCTGCACTTACCCTCACCTCTCTGCTTGTGCTCTGATGGGTCTTTACTTCCTTGCTTATTGCAAAGCACACTCATACATTTTCATGCTCGAAGAATGGTTCACCCTCTATGAGTGTCGAAGTTCATAGTAGTCATTACCACGCCTGTTGTCTATGCACAGTAAGTAGAACATAGAAGGAACAACAGCAACTATGTCCTCTAATCGTTATGCCAATGCATCATAAAATTACATTAGTCCCCAGGTGAACTCCTATGCTCCGAGCAAAATCCCATCAAGTTGGCTTCGAGACAAATTGGGGCCAGCACCGACGCTGTGCCTCAGGACCGTTGGTTAGCGCCGTTGGTCGACGATACGAGTTTCGAATGGGCCAGGCTTTGGCGCAGAACGTCCCAGTTCAATCCATCGACCTTTTCCCCACCTAGCGACTCAAGGTCGGTAGACAGTCCATTCAACTTCCCTGTCGCTAAGCGTCGCATCATGACCGTATCTTTATGACCATGGAGCCCCCGAGCATTGCCCCGGAGCAGAGACTCCTCGAACCATTCTTCCTCCTGCTCATCGAACGGGAGACCGATCAGTTCCATAGCCCTCGCACTTCGCGCGGGGCCGGCCTCGCTCGTCAGGACAAATTCAATGAGCTTCTCCAGGTAGCTCTGACGAAGCTCTTCATCATGCTTGCGCGTGAAGTAGAACGCCTCGGTTACGCTTGCGCGGCACATGGTCTGGAAGAAGGCCCGCTGAACCTTCTCGGTAGCCAATGGCGGGGCCACGGTAAGGTAGTATGCCATGACAAGGCTGTCGTCGTGTCTGGGGAGGGTTGGAAGGGTTAAAGCGTAGAGGATTTCGTCGGGAAATGTGGGGATGATGGAAGGCTCAGTCAAGTATTCGACAGCTCGCTGCTCATAGGCGATGGTCAGTCATCTGCAGTCGGCTATCACATCGGCGAAGATAAAGCGTACCTTGAACTCCAATCTGTCAAGGTTCCAGAGACCGTCTATGAACAGCCTATACTTCTCCGGTAGGTGACACCGGCGGGAGAACTGCGTAGCCGCATCGTTGCTGGCGCCGCGGCAATCTTTGAGGATGTAGTATATCAACGATTGCTTGTGATGGATGTCGAGTGGAGAGGATACGATGTGTCCGATCAGTGTGCGCAGGTCAGTGTTCGACCGAGGAGGGTAGAGCCGCGTGACTATCAAATTGTGCCTGGTCAATCCTTTGTTCGAATTTCCAACCTTGGGGAGCGGAGAGAGCTACCTGCTTTGACGCCGAGCAATCCCAAGAGTCTGTCTGCAAAAAGCCGGTCCTCTAAGGCGCGGCGATTTGAGATGATCTGTTCAATGAGCTTGCCATCATAGCTGAAGTCCTTATTGAACTGAAAGATGGAATCGAAATCCTCCCAAGGCGCCATCTTGAGCAGTGCTGGCGAGGTTGAACACACTCCTCTGGAATCTCCTCGAGCGCCGACGGTAATATTGAAGCCGATATTGACAGTACCGTACGGCTCGATCGGTACATGAAGGCGGTGGGGCATGTGACTGAAAGATGCAAATGTTGTGGCAGAAAAACAACACTATTCCGCTTCGGGCGGCGATGTAAACAACCCACTTTCCACCTGCGGCGCTTTCAAATGTCAACTTTGGCACCTGCACAACGCTTGAGATTCCGCCTTGATGCAGCACCCACAGGCGACTAACAACAGTACAGCATAATGTCGTCAATCGCCAGAGGCCGGCCATCCCGGCGCGCTGCCCCTCGCACAAGTTACGTCCCAGAAGAAACGCCATCAGACGAGGAAGATCCTGGAAATGTCACCCCCACCGCGCCGTCCCGCCACGGGGATGACGACGACGAAGAGGAGGGCGAACGTACCCCGGTCCCCAAGAAGCCCAGCGCAGTCAAGAGATCATCACGCAGACAAGTCACCGCCGAACCGCCGGCTTCCACATCGAGTGCCGCCCGCACGACACGCAGACCCCGCAAGTCGAGGACGGTGGACCCGTCGGAGTCGTCGCAACTGATGGATGAGGGTGAAAGTTTTGCAAGCGTCAGAGAGCCAGAGGAGCCCACTACATCGAGCGCTCCTCGCACGACGCGCAGGACCAGGAAATCGAGGACAGTGGAGCCGTTGGAGTCGTCGCAGTTGCTTGACGAGGGTGAAAGTCTGGCTAGCATCAGA